CAATTGAATACAGTAGTTGAACCTACGCCACGCCATTGTTGATCTGTTCCAAGGAGTCACAGAGAGCTGAACTGAGAGTTTCTCTCCAAACAGAGCCACACAACAACGTGCGCCGGAGAGGATTATTGGATCTAACTCATTTGAGGATGGGTAATCTGACCAGAAGGAAGAACATGGAAAAATTAATAAATCTGAGAAAAAAAATACTCATATAAAAGGAAATTCCCGATTTATTTTCTGATCAAATTAACAAAATACAAATATTGCCCAGAAAACACAGAACATAAACCGCACCAGCTATTGAGATCTGATATATAGTAATAGTGATCATAATAGCTTGGGCCTCGCTAGAAATGACACTGAATATGAAAAAATCTAATTTTTACTATCAAATTGGAGATCCATATGATAAAACAAACTATGAACATGATGCCATTTACTTATTGCATGTGATCTACTCTATAGGGTTTTCAAGATAAAGGCACAGCTTGAAATCTCATGATATATCCAAAAATAGTAAATTTTTCATTCTTGTTTTCATTCCTCTCTGTTTTTCTCTCCATCCATACGATTGGTAAGTGAGATATATGAGAGGACTGACCAAGAAATTGGTCTCCATATGGTCTCTCAGCACAGCTGATATTCCTCTGCAAGGGCTTGGTCTTGTGATTATTAATGTTCTGCCATGAATCTGCAAAAATAATTAATTAACCTTGTTATGCAATATAGTAATCCATCATTAGAATGAGAAGCAGTTCGAGATGACCAATGAGAATTATATAGGTTTAGTAAAGGTAACTGGTGTTTAATAACATAATGAATTTAAGTTCAAATTTTCATTAAGAAAGATGGCTGACTATATTTTAAATAAGATTGTCTTCAATAAAAAATTATCTATCCACAATTATTGGGAATAAAAGAAGCACGCTGAGATGCAGTTCTGCATTTTCTAGCTTGGTGACGATGACTTGAAGTACTCTTTCTCGCTACTTCCTTTGCCTCCCAATCAATTTATTGAGATGGTTTACAAAGACAAGCTCGTTTGACCAAGCTCATTGAATGCCCATGAATGTGGTTGGTCGGGCATTTATGATTTTTAATTATAATAAGGACTGTTTTGGACTGCCCTGCCTACGTATATGTAGACAGATTGCTGTACATTTAAGTGTTGCTTATCTTTTAAGGTGAAAATTTTTCTAATTTTTAGTCAACACTTACAATAACAGTCGCTTATTGTATGAAAATATAAAACAATAAAAATTTAACATTTTTTTTCGCCCATGGAATTTGAATAATATATCTCTTGAATCTAGTACGTGATTTTTTTTGGGGTAAAATCTAGTACGTCATTTTAACCACACTTCCAACACCACTATCTTATAATATAAAGCAAAATATTATATATGTAAATAATTTTTAATGTAAATTAATTAAGAAATAAATTAATTAATAAAAATATATAGAAAAATTAAAAAAAATTAAAGTGAATGTTTTTATGTATAGGAAAATTCAAAGGTAAAATTTTATTTATTATTTTTTTTGTGTAGCAGCACTGCCACTCTATATGCTCAATATTATTTGACATACAACTTGGATTGATGCAAATCAAGTTGTGTATCATAATTTTTTAAAAACTCGGTTTGATAGATGTTAACTTATATGAATTTGTAGTATTTGAATAAACATTTTGTAAAGTATAATATCTGGATAATTTATATCTTTTATTGTAGCAAGTGGGTAAATTTGCCTCAAAAGAATGCGCACCCCTCCAATGGAAAATGTTATAATAAGTTTGTCAAATAAATACTTTACACACAACTGGAGGGAGGGGGACCAATTAGTTTTTAAATGTTTTTTGTATTATATAAATGTTACATACTTTCAGCTTTCTCTAAAATTTATAAATACTTTGATAATATATATATATATATATATCAGCTCTCTTATTATTAAATCCTGGCTCTAGTTCTAAATTTACATACTATGGATGCAAGAATCTCTCCATTGCGAATCATTTTGTTAACTTCGGGGAGAAAAGGATATAAGGCATTTACCTATACAGATGGTGCGATTTGTTTTTATTCTCTCTCTTCTTTTGCTCTCATGACAAGGACACATCTTTTGGATGGGGGGGGGGGGGGACATATTCTTAGCTTGTTGAAGCTGAAGTTTTTGGAAATAAAACAATTATTAAACAAGGCCATGCTGTGTCAAAATAGGTCTATTTTTTTTATTTTACTTGGGAGAGGTGGCCAGGAGATATAAAATAAACCTAGTCACCTGGCTTATATCAACATAATTCAACTGAAAAATAAATCTTTTATTAGTACCTAATCATGCATAATCATACAAATCCTTAATGTCACTTTACTTTTTTTTATATAAAAAATCAATTTATTAAAAAGAAAAGTTATAATACATAAAATTTAACAAGTCTTAAGGGGAAGGAGGATTAAAGAACAAATTATGCCGAGTAGTACTAAAAGCTACAGAGAAAAGAAAATAAATGACTTATGATTTTGTTAACATCTCCTGCGCTAGAGCTTGCTGAAAGCAATCTTTTGAATGAAAGCCAATGGAAAACTTTCTCATTGAAACGAAGAACACAGGTTCTTGATGTTGATGGATATCTATTTTAAAATGAGTACACATAGGTGAATTTTGCTCTTTTAAGACTTAAAATGTAAAAAGTGAGGCCTACTGTTTATATCTATCTATCTCTTTATTCAAGGAAGGATGATACATACAAGTAAGATTGGCACTACATTTTAATCCTAACCTTATAACATTAAGAAATAGTAACCTATATTTTAAATTAGCTTTATCCGATGTGTATGTGACGACTTGCATAATTCGCCCAACATCAACTCTATTGGATGTCTGATGACTTCTAATATTTTATTGAATTTATTAGTATTTTTAATATAATTGGAAGTCATTTATTGAAATTTTGTTAGCAAAAATATAATTAAAAAGATGAATGCGTATGAAAATGGGCTTGGATATAAGTTAGAAGTTATTGGACCAATTCTATCATTTATTCTGGATTTTATGCATGTAGGGAGGCCAAATTTAGGGGCCCAAAGAAGAGAATTTCGGAGCCCAAGTCAAAGAAATTAAAGCTGAAAAGAAAATCCGAACATGTCATGTTCGCTGTAGGAAAAAGGTGTTTTGTTGCAGCAAAGCACGATTTTAATGAAACACACAGTTTTGACTCTCAGCGAATTTTTAGGGCTAGAGGCACCTCATATCAGTTGTAGTTCGTCTTCAACTAGCAGCTGCACGTCTAGGGAGCATTCTAAGGTGGAGAAATAGTTGGAGAAGCTTAGAAAACACTTGGGTCTTGCAATTTATGATAGAAATTATCCTTCCTCAGCTTTTTTCTCCCTTTTCTCTACATTTTGATGTATCTTTTGCTGAATATTGTTGCTTCATGCTGTTTTAATGGCTGTTAGTAGCTAAACACATTTGACCTAGAGTAACTGTAAACTTGTTAGTGGATTAGAGCTTGTTTTTACCCATTGGTTATGCTTAATGTTAATTTTGGTTGCTCAATCTTGCATTAATTTATCTATTTAATGTTTAACCATCATTAAATATGAATTTGGGTGTTGGGGTTTTTTTTGACAAAGGGGAATCTTATTTGGATCTTTAGATTGAGTAATATAAGATTAGACTATGATCTAATTTGTAATTAGGATAGAAATATATCTAATTGCCTCATATAATTAAATTAGAGTGAGTTGGAATTAAAGTTGCCTCTTGAATAATTTTGTTAGAAATAACATAATTAATTTGAGAGAGGGTTATTTGAGGTTCAAAAGACCCTTATAGACATTAATGCTCTAGATTAACATAATTAGCATTAAAATTAATTAATTGGGTTAAAAGCAAGATCTATGAAGCTAGCAAGGGATTAGTGACTCTAGGTTGCATTGGACATTTGTGGTTATTGGATTGGGAATCTCATTGCATTTTATTCATTTTACTTTTTAATTTTTGCTTAATCAATCACTTCTAATTGGTTTTGCTTAATGTGAATAAAAATGAAAACTTTATTGTCTAATTGTTATTTTGCTTGATTCCTTGTGAGATCGATCTTGACGTACTACTATATTGCACTTTGACCCATACACTTGCAGTGAAACATTTTGTGTGCATCAAGTTTTTGGTGCCGTTGTCGGGGACTCTAGGCAATTGGTGATTAGCATTAGAGGATCTTGAGCAGTTTTTGCTTAGGCATTTATTTTGTTATTTTGTTTTCCTTTATTTTGTTCAATTCAATCCTTGATCTTTTTTTGTTCTTGCAGGACTATTTTGCATGCCATGCAGGGCTAAGTCAAAAAAGACACCTGTGAGAACAAGGAGTCTCAAAGAAATCTTGGAAGCTAGTTCACCTCACACTCAACCTCCAACTGGTGAAAAAGGTTACAAACAAAGAGATGGCTGAGGATGAGAATGATAGGCTATGTGTCACTGATTTCTTGGGTAGACAAGTCAGAGGATACTAGTCTGGGATTAAAGTACTTGACTTCCAAGCTAATAACTTTGAGATTAAGTAAACCATGCTTAAGATGATTGAGATAAATGGGCAATTTGTGAGAAATCAAGATGAGGACGCTAATAGACACTTCGTTAACTTCATTGACATTTGTGACTCATTCAAGCAAAATAGAGTTCCTCAAGATTTCATTCGTCTTTGACTCTTCCCTTACTCTCTACAAGGGAGAGCTAAGGATTGGCTCAATAATTTGGATGAAGGTAGTGTCTCATCATGGGAAGAAATGGAAAGCAAGTTCAGATCTAGATTTTTCCCACACAACAAGATAGTTGATTCTAGAGCCAACATTCTCAATTTTAATCAACAGTTTGGTGAACATTTGTATGAAGCTTGGGAAAGGTCTAAGCAATTGGTGAAGCAATGTCTAGGGCATAATCAAGAGAAATGAGTTTTAATTCAAGTCTTTAATAGCTGGTTGACACCAGAATTTAAGTCTGAAATGAATTCAGTCACTAATGGTGGGATTACAAAGCAACTGGTGAACTATGTTTGGAGCTGTTTAGATGATCTTGCTGTTGATTACATTCAGAACAACAATGAGAGAAGACCTGGGAGACCACTAGAAAGAGTTACTGATGACTCTTCATCTTCACAAGTAATAGCTATGCTTCAGACTCTGAGTAAAAGATTTGATCGTCTAGAAGCACATGTTGATCGAAACAATAGTAGGCCAATGGGAGCTCATGCCATATATGCTCAGTGTGATTATTGTGGAGAGGCACATGCGACTGACCAGTGCCATCTATCTCAACAAATTGAGACAGTTAATTATGCTAGGAATTATCGTGGTAATAAACAAGTCAACCCATTTTTAAACACTTACAATCCTGGGTGGCGTCAGAATCATAACTTTTCTTAAAGAAATAGTGCAACCCTTAATCAAGCTTCATCTTTTAGTGCAAAGCCAATCATTCCTCCAAGTTTTCCTCAAGTTAAAAAGTGGTATATTCCTATTCAAGAGCTAAAAGTTGACTTAGAAGATATGATGGCTAAGTTGATGAGTTCTCAGATTAAGAGCAATCAAGAACAAGCAGCTATTAATACAAGAGTTGATTCATCCCTTAAGAATCTTGAGGTTCAAATGGGGCAAATTGCAACTGCTGTGACTGCACTTCATAAAGGAGGATTACCAAGCAATACAGAGACTAATCCTCATAGAAAAGGAAATGAGGAGTGTAAGGCAATTACCTTAAGGAGTGGAAAGCAATTATCTGAAATTTCCTCTCCTACACCTAAGTCTACACCTAAGCCAAAAGTTGATCAAACTAAGCAAGAGGTATCTTCTATGCCTCCTAAAGATAAAATTGTGATTGTTGAAGATGACATTAAGAAGGATTCTTCAAAAGTGGTAGTGAAAACATCTAAGAAAGAGGAATTGACTAGTGATCATCTTACTTGGGTACCACCCTTACCATTCCCTCAAAGATTTCAAAGGAAGGCATTAGAGGAGCAATACAGGAAATTCTTGGGAATTTTCAAGTTGCACATCAACATTCCTCTCATTAAAGCTTTAGAACAAATGCCTCAATATGCTAAATTCTTAAAAGAGATGTTGAGTAAGAAGCGAAGATTGGGTGAGTGTGAAATGGTTGCGCTTACTGAAGAGTGTAGTGCTATTCTCTTGAACAAGCTACCTCCTAAATTCCATGATCAAGGTAGCTTCTCAATTCCTTGTGTGATTGGAGACAAATTTCAAGGTGGGGCATTATGTGATTTAGGCTCAAGTATCAATTTGATGCCACTTTTTATGTTTAGAAAATTACAACTTGGTGAAGCTAGTCCCACTTTAGTGACTCTTCAATTAGCCGATAGAAGTTTGGCTTTTCCTAAAGGTAAAATAGAGGATGTTTTGGTTAAGGTTGATAAATTTATTTTCCCTATTGATTTCATTGTCTTAGATTGTGATGAAGATAGAGATCTCCTACTTATTGTGGGTAGACCATTTTTAGCTACAGCACGATCTCTCATTGATGTTGGGAGAGGAGAGATCAAACTTAGAGTGAATGATGAAGAAGTTAGCTTTAACATGCACAAAGCAATAAAGTATCCAAGGGAATATGAAATTTGTTCTAGAGTGGATATTCTAGACGAGGTAGTTTGAGAGATTTTAGAGTCTTTTGCTGTGAAAGACTTACTACATGCCATATTATTGGGAAATGATGTGGTTGAAAATGATGATATTATTGAATGTAAGAAGCTTCTTCAAGCATCTCCTTACTATCTCAATTCCAAAAGGGTATTTGAATCTTTAGAGCTAGAATCTAGATAAGCTCCATCCCTAAAATCCTCAATTGAGCAAGCACCAATATTGGAGCTTAAGCCTTTGCCACCTCACCTCACTTATGCTTATTTGGGTAAATATGAGACATTGCCTATTATCATCTCTTCTGCTTTGTCTAATGATCAAAAAGAGAGGTTACTAAGGGTTATTTGAGATCACAAGCAACCTTTGGGATGAACAATTGCAGACATCAAAGGTATAAGTCCATCTATTGTGATGCACAAGATTTTGTTAGAGGAAGATCATAAGAACCTTGTGATGAAAGAAGTGGTCAAGAAGGAAATACTCAAGTAGTTAGATACTGGGATAATCTATCCCATATCTGATAGTGCATGGGTTAGCCCGGTATAATGTGTTCCTAAGAAAGGAGGAATGACAGTGGTTAGTAATGAACAAAATGAGTTAATTCTGACCCAAACAGTCATTAGATGGCGTATTTGTATGGATTATAGGAAGTTAAATGATGCCGCAAGAAAGGATCACTTTCCTCTTCCTTTCATTGACCAAATGCTGGATAGATTAGCTGGTAAGGAGTTCTTTTATTTCTTGGATAGTTATTTAGGCTACAATCAGATTGCTATAGCTCCTGAGGACCAAGAGAAAACAACTTTTACTTGTCCTTATGGCACTTTTGCCTTTAGAAGGATGCTACTCGGTCTTTACAATGCACCCGCCACTTTCCAAAAGTGCATGATGAGCATATTTTCTGATATGATTGAAGAGATTATAGAGGTGTTTATGGATGATTTCTCTGTTTTTGAAGAATCATTTGAACAGTGCTTGTCTAACTTGGCTAAAGTGTTGAAAAGATGTGAGGAGACTAAACTTGTGCTTAATTGGGAAAAATGTCATTTTATGGTAACAGAAGGTATTGTTTTGGGTCACAAAGTCTCTAAGAAGGGTCTTAAAGTTGATCGGGCTAAGACTTTAATTATTGAGTAGTTGCTACTGCCCACTAATGTAAAGGCTGTGAGAAGTTTCTTAGGGCATGCTGGTTTCTATCGTTGATTTATCAAGAACTTCTCCAAGATTTCAAAGCCTTTATCTCAATTCCTTGAAAAAGACACTCCTTTCAATTTCAATGAAGAGTGTACAAAGGCCTTTGAAGAGTTGAAGAGTAGATTAACATCTACCCCTATCATTGTTGCTCCTGATTGGTCACTACCTTTTGAGCTCATGTGTGATGTAAGTGATTTTGCTGTTGGAGCGGTGCTTGGACAAAGGCGTGAAAAGATTTTTCATCCTATCTACTATGCAAGCAAGACTTTAGCTAGCGCACTCAACTACTGAAAAAGAAATGCTTGCTATTGTTTTTGCTTTTGAAAAGTTTAAAGTTTATCCGATGGGTACTAAGGTTATAGTTCATACTAATCATGCTGCTATTAGATATTTGTTGAATAAGAAGGAATCTAAACCTAGGCTCATTAGATGGGTTTTGCTGTTGCAATAATTTGATGTGAAATTTGTTGATAGGAAAGGAACTAAAAATTAGGTTGCTGATCACTTGTCTAGACTTGTTCATGTTTCTGATTATGGTGATGACTTGTTGATTGTTGAAAATTTTCTTGATGAGCAATTATTTGTTATTAGTACTTGTGATTTACCATGGTATGTGGATATTATGAATTATCTTGTGTGTAGTGTGTTACCTCCTGATTTGAAGCCTTTTCAAAAGAAGAAATTTTTGCATGATATTGACTTTTATATTTGGGATGAACCATTTTTGTTTAAAAAGATGTGCTGATTTAATCATTAGAAAATGTGTTCTTGAAATAGAACAAGAAGCCATTTTATATGACTGTCATGCATCTGCATATGAGGGGTATTATGGGGGGCAAAGGGCCGCATCTAAAGTTCTTGAATCTAGATTTTATTGGCCTTCTTTGTTTAAAGATGCTCACTATTTTGTTATCAAGTGTGATAGATGTCAAAGGACAGGTAATATTTTAAGGCAATATGAGATGCCTCAATCTGGAATTTTAGAAGTGAAATTGTTTGATGTATGGGGGATAGATTTCATGGGACCATTACCTTTTTCAAGAGGCAATCGGTACATACTTGTTGCTATAGAGTATGTAAGCAAGCGAGCATAAGCTATGGCTTGTTAATCCAATGATGGCAATACTATGATCCGGTTCTTGAAGAAGAACATCTTTTCATGGTTTGGCACTCCTAGAGCTATTATCACTGATGAGGGAACTTATTTCAACAACAAGCAATTCAAAGTTCTTTTGTCAAAATATGGAGTTCACCACCAGATGTCTCTTGCTTATCATCCACAAACTAATGGCCTTTGTGAGCTAACCAATAGAGAGATCAAGTGGATACTTGAAAAGACAGTGGGACCTACTAGAAAAGATTGGTCAGACAAGTTAGATGATGCTCTTTGGGCATATCGTATTGCTTTCCGGACTCCAATTGGGATGTCCCCTTATCGCTTGGTATTTGGTAAAGCTTGCCACTTGCCTCTTGAGTTAGAACATAAAGCTTGGTGGCCAATTAAACAACTGAATATGGATTCTAAGCAAGCTGGTGCATGAAGGATTTTGCAATTGAATGAGTTAGAAGAGTTTAGATACCATGCTTTTGAAAGTGCAAAGTTATATAAAGAGAGGACTAAGCGATGGCATGATCAACATATCTTGCATCGAACTTTTGAGCCATGACAACTAGTTCTTCTTTTCAATTCTAGACTAAGGTTGTTTCCTGGGAAGATAAAATCTCAATGGTCCGGCCCTTTTAAAGTGCTTTCTGTAGCACCACATAGAGCAATTGAGGTTCTTAATGAAAGAACGGGTAAATCTTTCAAAGTTAATGGACAAAGACTCAAGCATTATTGGGGAGGTGACATAGAGCGATTGAAGTCTGCTGTCCACTTGGTTGATCTACCTTGATGATCTAAGAGAGTTTGGCTGAAGACTATAAACCAAGCTCTTTTTGGGAGGCAACCCAAGTTTATTTTATCTTGTGTTTTTGGTTTGTTTGTTTTCTTTATCTTTGGTTTGTTCTTCTTTTATTTTGATGTGTTTGTAGGATTGTAGAGTTCTTGAAGAATTTGAAAGCTCAAAGCCAAATCTTGGAATCAAAGAATGGGCCAACAATATTTTGGGAGAGTATTCTATCCTTGTGCTTAATTGAGGATATTTATGTCTTTATATAGGATCAAGACTTAGTGTTGATGAAATTTTGGATTGAAAGTTTTTAATTAAATGTTAGGAGGTGTGGAAGCGAGTTTGATATGATGATTGTGTTGATTGGGAGGTGTTTAGGCTATTTTTTTTTTGTGAGTTTTTGCTTCATTTGCGTATTTCTCTTAAATTTTGAGTAGTTTTGTTCTGTGTTTTCATCAAAAATTCCAGAGAGCACCTTCACTGCAGTAAAATCTTATTTCGCTCTAGCAGAAGATGCCTCTGTGACTTTTCATCCAAAATTCCAGAGAGCACCTTCACTGCAGCAAAATCTTATTTCGCTCTAGCAGAAGATGCCTCTGTGACTTTTCATCCAAAATTCCAGAGAGCACCTTCGCTACAGCAAAATCTCATTTCGCTCTAGCTAAAGATGCTTCTGTGACTTTTCATCCAAAATTCCAGAGAGCACCTTCGCTGCAGCAAAATCTCATTTCGCTCTAGCGGAAGATGCCTTTGTGACTTTTCATCAAAACTTACAGAGAGCATGTTCGTTAGAGCGAAACTTTGTTTTGCTGGATTGAAAGACTATTCTATGAAAGGCTTAACCAACTTACAGAGAACATCTTTGCTAGAGCGAAATTTTGCTTCATTGGAGCAAAATTTTTGGTTGAGTTAAAAAAAAAATTAGTTTAATAAGAATAAATTTGTGAATATTTGTTTATCTTTAAAAAAAATCAATCAAATAAATTTTTTTTCCTTTCTTAAATATTATTTTATTACTATAAAATATTTTATTTTGAATAAAAAAATATTTTATAAATTTTTTGTTAAAAATATATATCTATACTATTTTAGTTTATTATTTTTATTTTACCAAAAAAAATTCAAAAAAATGTATTTATATATTCATATATTTTACTGATTATTTTACTTTATTTGCATTAAAAAAAGTGCAGTTTTTTTTTGTATATAAATTTAAATAATTTTTTTTGTTTTTACAGTTTTACCCTCCTGTCATTTTACCCTACTTTCTTTTCCATTTCACCTTTGTTCTCTCTATCTTCAACCTTTTACCGCCGCTCTTCCTCCTTCCCCAGCCGCTGCATTGTTGTTCTTCGTTTACCTCCAGAGGTGCTTCAGTCCTTTATCTCCATTGTTCTCCACCATGTGAAGCTTGTCCCCGCCGGTTACCACAGAGGTCTGCCATCTCCTTCATCTCATCTCTTTCTTCCCACTATGTTCATTTTCTTCCTCATGTCGCCATTCACCAACCTCATTCATGCTTTGGTTTTTAATTGCTTTATTTCTTGCTTGCTGAAGATCCTGCTTCAGTTCTTCCTTACTCTGTTTCCTCGTTTCATCTTCTTAGCTGTAAAGCCCAGTGAGTACTCCACTTCCAGCCGTGATTTAGCCGTATCTTTACTCTCTTTTACCGTCGCTTTGTTCTATTTCGCCTTCCCTGAAATTGATTTTCACAGTTCATAGCACACTATTCATCGGCTAGGCTCTCTTCACCGTGTTCAGCCAGTTTTTACTGTCACCTTGTTCTGTTTCATATTGTAAAAAGCTTATTTTCATTGTTCATAACCTCACCTTGCAGCTTCTTCATTTTCGCAGTGGCTAATCTCCAACTTCATTACCCTATTCATCGTCTTCTCCTTGCCTTCCTTTTCCCTCAATCAGCCGCAACAT